CCTTCTCTGTCAGAGAGCTCTGGTGCCACAATAAACTACAATTCCCATGATTTTGTCTGGTTAGAACAAAAAAGATGGAAGAAGCAGGAGTAAAACGTGAGCGAAAAAATTGCTGTCTGGAAACCCTGTAAAATTCAGTGGACAAGGCAATGGCATGTGTGATAAAGGCCTCACCTGAAAGTACTCCAGAAATGTGGAGTTACCTCTAAAAATACATCATCTAGTCATCGGCTTTAATATTTAGTTTCCTAAATGATGGGAGGGCTCAAGCATGTGGGTTGGCTGTGGGTGGCTACTGAGTCATGGAGAGAAAGCAGCATGCTTAGGGACAGCAGCACTCTCTTTTTTATATCTTTCAAGGCCAATTTGTTTAATGAAAAGAATGTGTGTATGAGGGGGAATAATGAATATTCTGGGTTTTAATGAACACTAGGTCAAACAAAGCCCATGGCCTACTCTTAAAAAATTCTGTTCTGCTACCACCATATTAAAGCATCCCTGAAAGGACTGAAATTCAGAAAAGAGTGAATTGTAATTGGTCTCTCACACAGAAATTTCAACGTGGGCTTGCTTTAGCTTTTCTGAGACTTTGATGTTGTTTTCCTTATCTTCTTTAGACTGAATATTTTAAATACATAGCTCAATTATTTATCTGCAGTGTCCAGATGAGATGCAACATTACTTATTTCTGACTGCCATATCAGAAATAAAGCCTGGATTCTTCACAGAAACTGGGGGGAGTGGGGGATGACTATTGATGAATAGGTTAAGATACAATCGGCTAGCCATCAAGTTTGATACACTGTTCTTTATTGCACCCATCACTCAAGTGCTGCACTGTTAAGGTTACACTTGAACACAGCTACTTAGAACTCCATGAGTTACAATTGCAAGTTATGTTACAAGTATTTTAAGTTTTTACAACCAGCCGAGTCAAGTCTTCAAGAGGTATGACTCCTCAACACAATGGTTTGTGAACATGTACAAAGCAGACCTTTGCACTGTGGCTTGCTCAAGCTTACAAGCTGGCAAAGTTAAAGCACAGGACTATGTATGCCTCAGAACTGCACAGGATTTGCACTAAAAGGCCACACTTTTCCTGCCTGTATTTGTTTCCAAAAGAAAACAATGTACAACATTGACTAACAAAATTTCTATCATTTTCATATGCATTTCATTAATCCTATAGACATTAAACAATTCCATCCATCTTGTCTTCTCTGCTACTGGTTTGGAGAAAGGCTGAGGAACCTGTGGCCCTCCATAGTTGGTTAGACTCAAGTTTCTATTAACATCTCCCAGATTGGGCAATGAAAGGCATGATTGCAGAAGCAACGCTTCAATATCTGAAGTGCAACAGGGTCTCCAGTAGAGGTTACTCAGCAAAATGGAAGACATCCCCAGTACTGCTTCTCACCAATAATGGAGATCTAGTGTAATGCAGTGGTCAAAGTGTCAGAGTCAGACTGGGAAGAACTGCACGCAGCTCCCCTTTGCTAGTGTTTTGTTTTCCAACTTAATCTTGTTTCATCCACATATTAAAAACCTGAAGATTCTAAAGGTGACAACGTGATATACAATGTGCTGATATTTGGTTCTTCTCTGTCCATCTCTTTTTGAATGATAATTTTGGTTCCATTGGCAATTTGTTTCTCTCCTCCATGCAGATGGCACAAAATACCAATTATAATCTGGACCAAACCAGGAAAATGGCTTTTCCTCCATCAGGTCAGAGAGTGATGGCAATATCAATTTGTCAATATTAGTGCAGAAATCCAATGGATGTTCAGTCAGAAAATGGGTTTGTGACAAAACACTTACATTTGCTTTCACTTGTTCAGTTCACCTCAAGTATTTTATTGATGCTGGGACTTCTTGTCAAAGCTGAGCTCTGTTTTCACATAGTTGGACAAACACTGCTGATTCCCAGTAAAAATGAATTTCAGGACTGATTCATATTTTAAATGGAAATATTCATTATGCATTAAGCAAAGAAGAATCAAAAACAGTAGGCAGATTTGGATTAGGCAAAAG